TCCTTTAACAGCAACCCATTCGGTGGATAAGAGGTTCCATTCAATTCCTCCGAGGGAATCGTATTTTAAAAAAGAGAGAGGACAAAACATGACCAGGCACAAAAGCACAAAGCTAACCACCAGCAAGACAACATTGCCTGGAAGCCTGGCAGGTCTTCGCCAGCCTCCAGAGTCTTTGCGCTTGGTTCGGCGTCGTACGCAGCGGCTTCCCAGTCCATTCACTGGGGTTGAGGCACTCAGCAAAAAGGCTACCTGAGCATTCTCGTTTGGCAGTCTGGGAATTGGGCTGGGGCAAAGCAGGCCAACGCCTATCATCCGGCACATCCTTGGAGGAATATTCAATGCACCCCGTGCGGTCCAACCAGTTGTTTTCCAAACTGCTTGCCTCTTGCCACCCTTCTTGCCTTTGCAAGGCTTTCTGGGCATGATTGGAGGACTGGTTGTTAGTGTCCTTAAGTGGCCTCGTTTGATACAATTCTTGTTAGGAGGGCCGTTCTTACGTTTGGGTTTTCGATGTGGTTCCTGAGCATTCTGTCCACTCCACTGACATTGCAGTTGACGGCTCACAGCCTGCTCCACCTGGGCCACAATCTGGCTCATAATGTTAGGGGAAGGATGAGCAACTTCGCGTTGAAGCCTTTTTCGAAAGGCCTTTCCGGAGCCATGCGGGCCAGCGCGACTGGCCTCACCAACTCGCACAAACCCATGTTGAGCTTGGCAAGCCCGTTTCAGCAAGAGTGGTTTGCACAGGACAAAAAGGATAAGCAAAATTGCATCAGCAAAAAGCTTGGGTCGTCGGACCCTTCGTTTCTAAGCTGTAGTCCGCACGGATTCTGAGGCCGGAGCACCTGCAGACTCGACACTAGGATCCCCAATTGCAGCGCCACCGAATCCAAGGCCGGAACCTGCGCGGAGTCGACACTAGTTCCCCGGTAGGCTCAGAAAGTTTACCCACCATCTGAGCCCCACACAAACGTCTTCTAGGTTGGAGCATCCAGCGCTTCACCAAATTGGCTGTGGCTCCACGTCCAAGGAGCACACTTGCCTTGTCTAAGCTTGGCATGTTGCCAAGATTTTGCTTGGGTTCTACGCTGAAAGTATCCTCGCCCAAGCCCAATCTGCCTACAAGCATAGCAAACAATTTGAACGGGTTGGCTGTCTCTGCAACCTAGGAGGATGCAAAGATTTTTGCGCTCCTTTGTGCTTCACTTTTCTCATTCCGGGAGCCTGATCGACACGTGATATTTGGGTACGCCAACAGATCACGAGGGCAACGGTACACAGTGCAAGCATGGAGAACCACATCCAAGTACTATCCAAACCATCATTTTTTGTCAGCTCAACAATGCGGCTACGAGTAGGTAAGCCCACCAAAGCCAGTCGTTTCCCGCGAAGTCCAGAACGACGTCGACATTGGGGATTACAGCGCAAGTTTCGTTTCCCAAGCTAACTCCGGTGGCCATGGCTGCGAGCGTCTTAGGATTATATAAGCGAAGTAGGGGGCCCAAAGGGTTTGGTAGTCAGGCAAGTCGGCAAGACCTGTTGAAGGTCGTACGCCTGGTATGGTCCAGCCACATCAGCAGCTGAGGCCCACGGCTACAGCAGCAGGCAAGGCAGGGCAAGCAGGGTTAGGGCGGCGAGGCTCCTTGCCCCAATGGGTTTGCCTTTTCTTTTTTATTATCTGGAACGCTCTCTCATTCACGGCGTTAATTTTGGCTCACTTGTCTCTTTGGGCAGAGTGCTTTCTGACTTTGTTCGCTGCCAAGCGGCCAAACTTAGCCATGCAACAACCGCGCCGAAGTGGCTGGAGGTGAGATCATAGTAGCCAAGCAGTGATACTCTGACTGTTCTTGATCGCATCCCTGCATCCGGTTTGCTGCCGAGTGTCGAGAAGCAGCCATGAGGCTGGACAAAAAAATCTGCTCAGGCGCAATTCACTTTTTGCTGCTGCATCTGCTACCCTGGTCTCGGCCAAGTATCTGGCAGTCAAATTCAACATTCCTGCCGATGACATTGCGGCTTTTGCTGCCGCCAAAAGCATCGATCTATCATCCACCGCAGAAGGAACCTGACTTACGAAAGGGACTGGCTGCATTGAGGCACATGGAATGGGTAGCGCTCTGTGCACCAGGACATCTGGCGATCTGCTCGCAAGCGCAACTTCAAGGCCACGGTGTCTCCAGAGTTTCGCAAGGTCTCACACTTCATCGCTGCCTCGCCATTAGCCCGCACGATACTGTCCTCTACAAGAGACATCTGCAAAGTCTTTTCCCGAGAAATTTCTTTGACATCCGCATCATCTTCCTCATCCTGGCTGCGCGTGGTAAGAGAAGACCTCTCTTCATGCAATTCGGAGCCTGACCCCAGGTCTAGGAGCTCTCTTGTCGTGAGATTCTGGCGCCTGCTTGTTTCTGTAAACAAACAGCCTGCAAGTATCACTCTGGCTTTGCAGCCGTGCTGAAAAGCTCAAAATTGCTTGAAGTCTTTCTTGATACCACCATGTCATGCTGTTCAAGCTGCAGAACTCATGAAAATCTTTTGGGAAGAAAAACAAGCTGACAAATCACATCAACATTCAAGGTCATGCTCAACTCAAGTGCAACTTGCGATTCAAAAAGAGGCGACCCAGCTGGAATCGTCTTCGGCGCGTCTGGCTGTCGCTCCTGCACACTCGCTAGCCTGTAGATGTCCTGGGTAGATGCCAAAAATTCAGCAGACGTGGCGCGGAAGATTAGCCATTGCCATGACCAGCAACCAACCAAAAAATGAACCAACAACAGCAAAAACAAATCAGTTTCCTCGTGGGAAATCCTTAGACCCATGGTCCTGTGTCAAGTCAGGACTGTGGTCCAAAATGGCGTCGTCATTCATGATCTTACGTCAATGCTCCAGGGTCGGGCTGCAGGACCAACATGTGTGGGTATGTGCCTTGACCCTGTGACTAACGAGTTGGAAGCGCACGCGCTGTCTACTCTGTTAGCCTTGTGCAGAAATGATTATGAAGATTTTTTGCCCACCATGTCAACAAGCATGATTTTAGGGGTCAACAGTCTGAAGCCAACTGCGCTGAACATGGGCCGGTCCGAAAGCTCCAAGCAGGCAGGGTGGTTGGTTGACCAACTCATCCACAAACTCATCCAACTTTGCCTCCAGGCCTTCAGTAAAGCAAAAGCCACTGTTAGAGGCACCAGATGCACAAACTACTTGCGCCTACCCTCCTCAGGCCCACACATACGAACAGGAAAGCAAGCTTGAAAGCATGATTGTTGCAGCAAAAGAGCTGAAAGGAATGGCCATGGCGAACAGTTGAAGTTGCCTAGGATGCGAACAATGCTACCTGACACTCGGCAACGTTCTCGGCGTGAGGGTAACAACCTCGTATGGTTACATAAGCTGTGGGATGATGTTGCATTGCACAACAAAGGCAAAAAGAGCACAGGTCAACGAAGCTAGCATACGAACAGGAACTCACGCAAAAAGAGGACTGCGTTATTCCGCCACTGCTAATGCCGCAGAACACAACGAAGAGCCCATGAGCAGCATGTTGGGAATTGGTCCTGCTAATGTGCCTTGTGTGGTTACTCTCAAGCAGGTGGGCCCCAAGCAGAGCACTGACTCACGTAAATCTGAAACGAGCCAAAGCACCACAGCCCTTGCACGGGATGGATATACATTCACTTTCAAACCAACATCTGAGATAAGCTTGACGCACCCCCACAAAATCATTCAAGCCACCAGTCAAAGCGCGTGCACCGTGCTCAACCACTAAATCGCAAGCCAAATGCTGCGGCCCAATGCATGCCAAGCAGGTGAGATGAGCAGCAAACTTCGGCAAAACATCAGACATTGTAACGCACTGGTGGTATTGCGGTAGTAGAGGGCCTTCAGAATACTGGGTGCAACTTACCTGCGAACCCATTACTGTAGAGCTGTACTTGCAGCTTTCATTCGGAGCTGACAGGGGAGTCAGTACGACATCAGCTAGACCACAAAGAAGCAGCAACAGCCCTGAGGGAGAGATGGAAAAAACTAATCCGCCTGGGATAGGACAGCCGATGTTGCAGAACTGACCAGTGCTGGTTCTCCACGTCGTAGAGCTCTACCTGAAGTGACACACTGATGGCCGACAGAGCATTTGTCAGTGCGTCCAGCTTTCTTGAGATGCTCGGAGGGATGCTCACAGATACTCACAGATGCTGGCAAAAAGCCGAAATGGATGCCTTCGGCCCGATTCATCCTGAAGCTCGGGCCGTTGGCTGGGTCTCTGCGCGACCGAACACATCGTCGCAGCCGCCGATGGCTGTCAGAACCCTGGAGCCTGGAAAAGTGTTCAAGCGAAGTCTGGCTATCTGCTTTATCTCACGGCAATTGCAGGTGGGATGAAGCTGTAGGCAGAAGGGGCCAAGCCCGCAGCCTAAAGCGACGACCCGCGTTCCTGATCTGGCGATCTGGAGGGGAGCTGCAGGGATCCACCTCGGTTGCTCACTGGATGTTTCGTGTGAATGCAATGCAGCAGACAATGTCCCCTGCTTCAAGCTTCACACATTTCTCATAGTTTAATTAATTCTCCGTCCATGGCACGCACTGTGGCTCTCACTGGCATGCAAGAGCTCATGTATGAAATTGAATATTGGCGCCATATACGGTGCGGTGTGCAAACGGAATTTCGGAGATGTCATCTCACGGTTGGAGCTGTCCCGGTGTGCATAATTCCCTCAACCACAAGACCAAACCTTCATCATGCCTTGCTTTAATTTATGCTGCGACCATTTTGCAGCAGGCATTAAGAAGGGAAATAAGGCTGCAATTGTTCGCCATAGAAGCATCGCCTGCTTCATATGTCGAAACTACAATTGCCTGCAATAAGTGGTGGGCCGTTTCTCCTTTGCTGAACAAATGTTCGCCACATCTAGTTGTTTGGCACATCCAACCATTCGTAAAGTTCACCTGGAACATGGTCTGCTCCTGCTGACTTGTTGGTTTTGATTTTGTCTAGGACATACTCTAACTTTGTCATTGTGAAAGCAGAATTGTCCTCCATGTAAATTACCGTTCTGAAGTGGGATATCTTCCCTTGATATTTGATAGTCGTCCAGGTCTGGTGATCTCCATTGAACTTGTTCAAGATACTCGGCTGCTTTGCTGGCATAGTCTTGAAATGGAACATGATTACCATCTAGGTCTTTGATTTTTGTAAACGAGAGACCAAACTTGGCTCTGAGCTTCTTGAGGCCTAACGATTTTTAGCCCTGAGCTGTGATTTCTTCGAGCAGTTCAAAAAGCTAATTTTCCGTGTCTTGCTGCACTGGCCTCCTTGTTTCTTGACCAACTGCAATATCTTGATCGCCTTTCTCAATATCTGTCCATTTCTGCTCAGATAGGTTCCAAGTGTGTTGTGACAGTGAGATATATATATGTGTATATTTATAGATATAGCTGTTTGATGTCTGGATTCTTGTGCAAGTGATTCATTGGCACTTGTCAGCCGCCTGGTATGTTATTTTATCGGTCAAATTTGTTGATGTCCTGCCGTTCTTGCTGTGCGTGGTCCTCCGCATATCTTCGGATACGATCACTGTAACTTGCCAGTTGTTGAGGCGAGGGCTTGTGATACCTGATGAGCTTTTTGACATGTCTCTTAGTGCTAGCTTTGAGTTTGAAGTTGGCACTTGCTATCGGGAGCTTCTGGGCTGCTTCTGTAGCATGCACAGCGCTGTCGTAGTGATGTTTGTTTGTCACTGAGCTTTTCTTTTCCACTGCGAATTGAGGAAATGATCCATTGGAGCATACTTCTGTATTTTTCATAGGGGCTTCCCTTCCTAGACACGACTGCCCTGTACGTGACCAGCTGTTCAACGGGTTTCTCAGAAAATGTGTTTTGAGCAAAAATCCCGGGCCAGAGACGGAATTCTGTGAATCTAAAGCTGTTTTGGAACTGCGCGTCACTTAAGACTCAAGACATGAAGCTCATAATCCAGTTGACAAAATGTGCAGCGTCCAATAACTGAAGCTTCAGTAGGCATGGCTTTGGTTATCCTAGCAATGAAGTCTCCCGCAATGATTTCAGCTGAGAAGAAGTTTGTTGCTCCGAAAACACCATCCGTAGTGTCTGTCTTTAGTTGCACATGCTTGTGGAGCGTATCTGGCAACAATCTCTAGGTCCTCTACTCGCATCTGCAATGCCAACATGATGCTTCTTGCGCTGACTTGTCGTACATCTGCTATACTCAAGTAACGTTCTCTACGGCAGCGTATTAAAAAGCTCAAATGCTCAATTGCTGCACGAACTGTTCTCATGTGCTCCAGATTTTGTCTACTTGCTTTACCTGATACCTGTAGGTTGTTCTCCTGGCATCACCAGGAACTCCTGTGGACCAATACGGAGTGTGGTCATGGTGCTGTTCTTGGGAATTGCAATTGATTTTTGTTTCGTGCAGGCATAGAATGCTCAGATTTGCCTGGATTATGATTTGCGTTAATGTATTTCTTGTTTCCTTTTGGAAACGGATGACAGTGATGACAGCCCTCGGCAGTTTAACGAAGCCATTCTCACGCTCTGTACAATTTGTATTTGCAATACTTCCTTGTGATAATCACTAAGGTAGCAGCCGATTTTCTGTCGGAAGGTAGATCTCGCACTGTCGCAAGGTCTCCATGAAAGACTGCGCGGCGGCAGGCAGGTGAAGGAGGAAAACAAAGCCTTACAATCCCTCCTGCAACTCGCAACGATGCAAGAACTACGTAGAGCGTCCGAGGCTGAAAACTGCCATTAGTTGACCAACTGAACGATTCCGCAGCTTTTACGAAGACAATCCCAGCCCATCTTGAGAAGGGGCTGCAGGGCTGCTAGTTTGGTCTCCGCCTGCAATTGTGCATGCTTGAAAAGGCTGCCCCCAAGAGCGTCAACAGCCCGAACATCAAGTTCACATTGCGGGCTCTGGGTCTGAAATGGAATCGCCTTTCAGAGCTTTAGCTTAACATATTGCGTGATATTGCAGTGCCAGGATTCAGGTTACTGGGTTGTCAGGTTGCAAAGCTTCAGGGCTTCAAGCTTGTCGGTTGAGGGCTTTGAGCATAGGAATGTTGGCGAAGTTGCTTCAGGGTGTGTTTGGGCAGGACAGCCCAACCAGGCATTCCGATTTAAACACAGGATTCAAAGAGCCAGCAAGACTTGAAGACTGGCCTCCTGCAAGGGTGCATCCAGCTGCAGCGAACATCCACCTACAACGTAGACCTGGCGTCAGGCATCAACACTTTCTTGTATCTGAACCTCAAGATGCACCAGGCCTTTCCCTGCAATGAAGCACAGCCGTGGCCCCAACGAGCCCGGGCAAGCGGTGCTGCACCATCCTGCTGTCAGGTTTATGCGAACTCGACTGCATTCTCGGAATGATGCTGTGACAAGGTGTTTGAAAATGTAAACCACCTCTGTATGCACCTGCAGGAGGCATATCATTCATGCGCAACAATTTCAATGAGATCTTGAACATGCTGTCCTTTCTCCAAGCACCGGCCACTGGATCAAAGATGTCACAACTTGCTAGGAGACCTTCTGCAATGCCACGCTCGTCGTACCTGCTAATCATGTTCGCAGGCTGCAACGCGCTGCGCGGCAACTGCTGTAGCTGTTCAGTCAGGTTGAAGCTGGCTTTACTAAATCGTGAGGTTCCCCCTTTGCAAGCAGTTGCCATGGGCACCCGCCAATGATCATCATGCGTCCATCATCAAGAAGTGCAGCAGCACTGCCGGCGCGACGTTTGGGCATCGGTGGTCCGGGCACCTCAAGCAGTATGCGAATGGCAGCACGTTGACATTGTTTAGGATCCATTTCTTTGTGAATACCTGCTGCCTCTGCTGCCACACATGTAGACGTCTACTTCAAATTAATTGTCTGTCAAAAAAATTTGGCATCTGGAAGTTATCTCCTTGCATCATCCTCTCATCCTCTCCTCTTTCTCCAAGGAAGAGGCCCAGCAGCCGTGCCAGGTGTTGAAGATCTCGACCTGGCCACGCACGGATGAGCAATGCATAGCAATGCTGTGTGATCCATGCTTTGTGCTCGCTTGAACTCTGATGTCCTGTGAAGCGGTCACCGCCCAGCAGATCTCAGAGTCGGGCAGTGTTCAACGGGCCATCTTCTTGATTACGCCCACCGAAGGCATACAGCCTTGCGGAACCACCACAAGTCACAAGAGGACAGCAGCAGTCCGGCGCTGGGTGGTGGCAAGGGCAATATTTGGGAGGAGTCGGCTGCCGACAAGTCAGCCTCCGCAACCCTAGCGTGACTCCACAGCCTGAATATCATAGTGTGCAACCTGGAACTCTTTCCAGGAAGCAACAGCGCCCAACCCTGAATCTGCCAGTTGGATTGCTTGTTGCCCAATCGCCAACACATTCCTTCTCATACAGTAATGATGTATATTTATGAGATGCTGTTCATACCCAACCTGGTTTGTTTGCGTATGCTGCAGACGCAGACAGGAGCTAAGCCCAAATAGAGATGCTCAAGGTGCTTCGGTTGTCTGAGGTTAGTGTTGCATAAGGCTTTGAGCAGCGCTGAGCCGCCAGGATCTAAGCTTCAGGCATGTTGGGCAGAAGCCCATCGAATCGCAGAAAGGGGCTGATGGCCTATCGCGACAGGCGGTCTGTGGAACTTTCATCTCAGACTTGCCTGCAGCTGAAGTTCTACGGCTCTACGGTCCTCCACGTATAGGAAAGGTGGAAGGGCCCGGCGGCGTCGCAGTGGTGCCCTGAGGTCTGCCGTGCTGCCAATCCGCCTGCCCATGCAAGGGAGAGGAATCGAGTTCGAACTGTATCTAGCCCGGTGCTGCTCTGTATTGCTGCCAAACCCTTGAATTGAAACAGTGTGAAAAGAAGAGACATTTTCTTGAAAGAGCGAATTGCATATGTGGGCTGAAGCCGGCTGATCTAAGAGTTAAAGAAAGTCAATTCTCCAGCTCTTGAACCCAAAACAATTACAACCGGATTTCATTGTCCCCTTCACACAGCGTTGTCAAAGTTGAGGAAGGTAGTGGTCACTATTGCGGTTAGGGTTTGGGGATCTAGATCGTTGTAAGGCTAGGGAGGCTGCTGAGTCCAGCTTATGGTTTCTAGGGGTTACCACATGTATCTTCTCATTGATACTGGTAATTACTTTGGATCCCGCATTAAGTCATCAGTTGATTGTAGTCAGGGGCCTCTGGCAGCATCCTGAAGCCTGCATTACCGAAGTTTAGTGGCACCTCAGATCCCGCAACATCATCTTTTGCATATGGTCCGTTAAGGACCTCAGGCAGCATCCCATCTCAGTGAGTTGATTGTGGCTTGGCGCCTCTACAACATCTTAAAACCTCAGGTAGGAATCCGACTCTTTGTTCGCAACTCGGATCCCCAATTAAATCTTTCAGAGATTTCTCTTTCCCTACCTACTACAAAAGATGAATCAAGTCATGAGTCAAATGCTTCAGTGGCATTTGGGTACTGCAGCAAAGCTTGTAAAGCAGGATTTGAAATTATGTTAAACTTATGGCCTTATGGGTCCATTGCTTTTCCATGTTCACCGACTTTCATGCCACTGCATATTGCAAGACGTTCTGCTGCCTGTCATCCAGGATCAGCAGACCTCAGGTGCAGTCGCGCAATTCATTAAACAAAATTGTTGCATGCTGGGCCCTCGAAATGCAGGTGGCTATCAAGGGTAAACGTGAGAGATTGTCGCAGTAGTATGTCTCACGTGCATGTCGTATGACATGAGCAGCAAAAGCTACGCAAGAGCATCCATCTTACATGTTGGGGTGTGTCTGCTTGGACAGTGTTGGATTTGATGTGCCAAGGGGCAGAGAGCTGCACAAGCATGACCATCGACCCACTTTGAATGCCGAGCCTGACAAGAAGTCACATCAGCATGCCGATCTGTGACAGGGCAAATGCATGCCTAATTGGAGCAAGTCTTGGACACCCCGCCGATGCTTGCGACGAGACTGCCCCTGGGCCATCCATGGGCACCTGCCAAGGCAAAGCTAACAGTTCGAAGAAGCCTTCTTCTATTTGCCTGCAAGCGCTGGACTGTTCCACGTAGTCAAAGGCCTGGCTACCTTAACTCAAAAACAAAACGACCCAGGATAGCGCACGGCCTGGAAGGCTCTGGCACCGGCCAAAGCTTCCGAGCCAAGCTCACATGCAGAGCAAGACGGCAATGATGATGACAATGATGATGACTGTCTGACTGTCTGTTACTTAAGGGATGAGGATGTCTTCTCAGAATTGACAGCACCACAGCTTTGTACTGCCGGCTGCGGAGACACTTTGTGAGGTTGACGGAGACAGGCACATGGTGCTTGGACAATCGGGCATGCACCTGCATCCCTGTAGCATGTCGGCACTGTTCCGGCGAGACTTTACAAAAAAATGGCTTCCTCTCAACACCTTGCGGATATCTCATGGCCAGCCAAGCTTTCTGGCCAGCTCAAAAGATGCGAAAGAGTCGGAAGATGTTTGGGCTTGCAGCGACTTTCTCCGCTCACCCTTGAAATTGCACCTTTGCAGAGGGGACTGCGAATAGCAGCCACATGCATCGGGTTGTTACACGTTGCAGAGGCTTCGTCCCACACTATTTTGTATGGAAGAGGCATAATCTGCCGAGGTAGCTCACTTTATGCAGGCATGTCTGCAGCCGCGGCTAGAGCAACGTCAGCGCCACGCATGCCTGTCTTTCATGGCAAAGCAATCGAGTGAATCTAGCTGCACTAAGGCGATTGTGCAGATCGGCCGGCTGCCGATCTACACGCCTCAATCGCTATCCGACTCCTCCTGCTTTTTCTCCTCTTCCACCTTAACTCCTGCATCGAGCATGTGCCCAGGTTGGAGATTGTACACGCCGCCAGTCACAGACGAAGCTATCTTAGGCTAGACTCCGCTAGTCTGCAGCAACGTGCTAAGCCCCGTCCTGGCACGTAGGTTGGGTGGATGACCCGCCTGCCTGTCGGAATCTCATCGCAGGATGGTCCACAAGCATCGTACAGAACTTGCGTGCGAGCTGCTGGCGGATACTAGCCGGAGTTGAGCTTGGATCCCCAGGCACGGTCTCTGTTCCGCAAACTGTTATCTACTACACGCTACCCGTTTACAACAGACACCAATGGCACGGACAAAGCAGTTCGCTGCATGACCCTTGGGAGGTTCACATTTCCAATTGTACCCGCATCTATACTGCGTATATTAGCATGTTCTTGCTGTATCTTGCTGCAGGAATGTTCTGAGCAGAGTCTTTGCCAGCACATGTTGCACAGCTGTACCTTTTTGCACTCCTTTCGCAGAAATGAGCAACTAGAACGTAGCATAAGTGCGGCTTCTTCTGCTCTCTTCTGTCTTGCGTGACCGACGAGAATGGCTAGACGCAGGAAAGGCTTCTTCTGTTCTCAACCCAAGATTCTCAACTTCTGCCACACACCTTTGCTGATTCCTCTTGGGTTCACTGCGTTCAACTCAGCTCTCCTCGACACTTTTGATTTGCTGACTGCGAGTTCTGCGAGCAGCTCAGGCCATACCAGGCCGTCTGCAAGGATCGTCGAAGCGAAGCGATGATGTGCCCATGGCAAGAGGCATAAGAGGCTCGCTTTAGGTGAAGCGGTGAAGACGAGCTCTTGCAAGGTATCATTTCAAGATCGCTTTCAGTCATCCTGAAAGTCTGGGCCAGGCCTGTGGGCTCGTTGTCAAAGCCTCGCCTCCCGAAGACCTGTCAAGTGGCCAGCAACCCATACGCACGGAGCTTCTATGCATTCTGCACCGAAAACCTCTCCCTGCAACGCAACTGCACATGCGACATGGATGGCTGAGGCAAGCTGTGGAAGCTTCCAGTAATTCCAGAAGCTCAGCAGGCTGCAGTGAACATGTCCCAGTCCAGCTTTTTGACCTCAAATGAGCTTTCAAATATTGACTTACTAAATGCTCCTAGGCAAGATGAAGCCACTTACCAGTGCTTGGAAGGGCACGGATCTTCTAAACTACATGCTTTTCTGTGAGGCCTTTCCAACTGACGGAAACACCCTTCCCTGAGATTGTGGCCGGGCCCGCAGCTTGTGGACGCTCCGATACATACCGCAAAGTCTCCTCAGCTTCAAGACACATCAACATGCGGCGCATGGCTTCAGGGGAAGGGCAGTTGAAGGACGCGCTTCTGGCATTGCCCAAGATCAACCTTTGAGACCTTTGAGGATATCTGAGGCGGACACCAAGCGCCGGATGAGCCTACTGCTTGAGGACCCAGAATTTTGCCGTGATGGGCCTCGTTCGGCACAATGTGTGGAACACGAGTTACCTTGAATTTTGCGCCAACAGCGTCTCCATCCAGACGCTCAGTTTGGTTGATGACTGCCGAGCTAGACTAGAAGATCATGAGGTCTCAGCGTAAGCATGTGCAACAACCTACTGTCTTGCTGTTGCCAGGCTCGCTTCGTCGCTGATTTCTTTTTGCAAATGGGGGGCTGACATAACTGCTGACTGTTGGCGCCTGCTCTTCTTCACCCTTGCGACACCACGAAGCAGACATCAACATCTCAACACGGCCTTCTGTCTCTAGTGGCTGCGTAGAAGTCATCGGAGTGCCTGTGTCACACTGTGGCAGCTACTGTAGCACTGACATCAAGCTCAGCGGATATACCCCTCCAAGTCATGGCGTTTTGTGATGCAATTCTGCATTTCCCATGACGAGGCAAAACCATCGCGAATATCAGCAAATTACTCCCAAGCTTGAGATGCCTGTGGCGGTCCGACTGGATGCACAAGAAGTCCGCGAGGAGAGGCACGTCCGTGTCGACGGAGTTCGCGCACTCCTGCCTGCCACTACATGTGTCCACGCTTGTTTTCGTAAGAAACCTTCTCCAATTCATCCAACCCTCACCCGTGCTGGTACTCATCGCACAAAACAGTGCCACGAATTGCCAACTCGGCGAATCCTGGCATACTATCACTGCCACCGCCACCACCGACTCCCACGCTGTCGCCTCATATCAGTAAGAAATGAAGGCCCCTGTCTGGAAATCACACTGTTGCATGCTGTTGCCTGAGGAAGCCAAATTCCGGATTGTTCCGCCGCAACTGGTCGGCTGGCGTCAGTTTTTAAAAGACTGTACAGGCGGTCAAGCACCGACGTGGCACAAGATCTCACTGCGCTCTGCTAGGTTCTGCTAGATTTGAGCACAAGCTCGAAGGCTTCAGATCACTCAATTTTCTGCATGCTTCCCCCGTTGGCTATCATGGTGCGTGTGCAAAGCTTACTCTCGCACAAGCTCAAACCGACTCAAACCCCGGAGTTGTTATGGGGGACCGCCTCAGGACCCCTCCACCAATCAACCGCAAAGCCAAGTGCTGCTTGAAAAGGCAACTCGGCACCGCGTTGCCTGCTAAAGCAGCAACATGCTCACAACTGGTCACCGTAGCCAACTCCCTTACGCCGCGATATGGCTTCCCAGAAGGGCTGCTAGCTTTTCTTGTTTGCTGCTGCTGTTGCTGGTCGCTCCTCCTGGTGTAGCACCGTCAAGCGCGCTTCGTGTTGAACCTGGCAGACCCTTTGTCTACCCTCTCGCAAGTTTCACAAGCTCCCTGGACGAGCACATGTTGATGATGTCACATCAGAAATGTCGCACAAGTACAGAGATGGGCAGCACTGAATCTGAAGCGATAGCGATTGTACACGAGAACCATCGGCCCAAGTCATGTTGATATGAGACGATCCTACTCAGAGAGCTGGGCTGGTCCTCGGCTTGGTAGCCTCCTGCTCTGTTCGAT